CGTTAAGATCTTAACATACTACATTGACGACAAGAAAATTTAACAATGAGTAATGACCATATTTTTTCAAAGTTTTGCAGAGTAGCTTTTCTAAAGATTTAAAAAAGTAACATCTTTTTCCTCTTAGAGTAAAACTATTATTTTTATATTACTTTAAAATAAAATAAATTCAGTTTTTTTACAGATCTTTGTAGTTAATGTTAAATGAATGACTATAATGAAGGTTATAACACAAGGTGAAAGCTGTAAGGTATGTAATGAAGCCTTTATTAGATGGAGTTTGTAAATCCCAGAGATGAGTGGAAAATGCAAATCAAACCCAATTAAAACCAATAATTTGATATACATCATGATATTTTTCTAGGGGGGGGGGAAATTTTACACCCCCTTATAGAATCCTTATCTACGCCCCTGAGCGGTGTATATAGGAGCTGAGGGAACAATGGAGGTCGGATATATGTGTCAATATCAGCACATGATGTATGAGTTAGCAAAAAATGTGAAAACATGTCTGATTAACTTAAAATAAGTGAATTAGAGAGGGAAAAGTGGTATTTTCCCATATTTTCTAAAATCATGGCGGTCAAAATGGACTACAATCACCTCCGATCTCAAATTTTCTTCGTGATCCATGTAGACAACCAAAAGTAGAGGCTGCATACAAAATTTCAGCCTTTAATCTCAATTTTTAGGATCAAACGCATTCTGTACAAAATTTGGTGTCACAGTGTCAAAGTGCACCCTTCCCCCCCCTTTTACGGAATATTGTATAACCCGATATTTATTACATACAATCCCTTTGAGTAAATTATAATTGTTTTGCAGAGGCGGACTGGAGTGAAGGCGGCGGAGGAGAGGATTGGTTAAGGCGGAGGACAGGTCGAAGCGACTACTGGGAGGAGGAGACAAGGCGGAGTTGCAGAGAATGGGTTCCTGCCTTGGGACATATCATCAGCTGTATCATTCTCGTAGCTGAACTAGTGCTCTGGATACAGGTTTATCTATTATGTAGTTGTATTCTACTAGCTGAACTAGTGCTCTGGATACAGGTTTATCTATTATATAGTTGTATTCTACTAGCTGAGCTAGTATTCTGGATACAGGTTTATCTATTATATAGTTGTATTCTACTACCTGAACTAGTATTCTGGATACAGGTTTATCTATTATATAGTTGTATTCTACTAGCTGAACTAGTACTCTGGATACGGGTTTATATATTATAGTTGTATTCTACTCGCTGAACTAGTACTCTGGATACAGGTTTATCTATTATAGTTGTATTCTACTAGCTGAACTAGTATTCTGGATACAGGTTTATCTATTATATAGTTGTTTTCTACTAGCTGAACTAGTATTCTGGATACAGGTTTATCTATTATAGTTGTATTCTACTAGCTGAACCAGTATTCTGGATACAGGTTTCTGGTTTAACTATCGAACCTTTTTCTGTATTGTTTTTAAAAGAAAAATCGAAATTCATCTCGATTTTTTAACTGACTTATTTTTAGGTTATGCAATTATGGCGCTCAGCACCTACTCCATATAACTTTCTATCAGGAAACCCAACAATTTATTATATTATTATGTTTTCCCTGGATTTAGGACAAACATGATGTCCAAAAAAATATGGAAAAATAAGTTACGACATTGAAATGGTTTAATTATGAATTATGGATTGAGTTTGTATACAAATTTGATGAAATTAGTTTTCTTTGAGAATTGATAAACGAAATAAAAATTAGTGTGATTAAAATTATATATTGGTTGACATTAAAAATCCCAGCTTTTTCCACACGAAAGGCAGAATATAATTGTTATTTAACTTAGGAATAATTCCATGTTTACTTCCTCTCATTGTACTTCCAGGCCTGGCTGTACTGCATTCACTCACAAGGTATTGAACAGCCAACATATTTTTCAAAAAAAAGCGTGAAAAAAACCAATAAAAGAAACAGAAAAGCTAATTGAGAAAATGCTTGGAAGACAAAAATTAATTAGAAACTGTCCCTTTAACATTTTTAGAATTTAAGATATTTTTGAGAAAAAATATGATTTTGTTTGTGCTGGTTGATAAATAAATGAATAAAAATTTTTCCTCCACTCAATTTCTTTCTTTTGCCTTTACATTTTTCCCTCTTGCTTTCCCTTCTCTAAATTTCTAACCCTCCTTACCTTCTCTCGCCTTTCCCTTCCTTCTATCCTTTATTTACAACTACTTTACTGCAAAGTATTTACCTCCTTTTTACCGACATAACTGACGTATGATTCCCCATTATAGGGACGTTGAGTTACTTCATTTTGCTTGGGAAATTAAATAAAATAACAACCCGCTCTGCAAAGTTTTCGTGAAAAATTCGCAGATATCCATCTCAAAGATTATTTACTACAAAAGAATTTGAGTCTTTGCCACAAACTAAAATTTTCCTATCGTTATAATTTTGCAACCCAATGACGTAGACCTTAGTTATTTCAAACTATGAATTCTGGTAGATCAAATAATTTGAGTTTGAAATATCAAAGTTTTACACTATCCAGTTGCAGAGATAGTAGGTTTTAAAAATCTGAGTTATTGACAAAAACTCATTTCCATTTTCCTGCAAAACATCCCTTGCTGCGCTCTGGATATTTGTAGACAAAATTGGTCTATTGAAACCTTTGTAAAGTAAAATTCTCTTATCTTCCCTGTATGGGAGTTGTAATTAATTAGTATAAAAGTAAGGATGATTTTAGAATGTTGTATTTCAGGGGTCAGCTGTCTTTCAAGGAGGGATTGTTGATGCTAGTTCCTCCTTCTCCTATTCTCCTTCATGCTATCCTCGTTTGTATCTGTATAGGAGGAGGAGATAGGTCCAGGTATATTCTCCTATTCTCCTTCATGCTATCCTAGTATCTTTATAGGAAGAGGGGATAGGTCCAGGTATATTCTCCTATTCTCCTTCATGCTATCCTAGTATCTGTATAGGAGGAGGGGATAGGTCCAGATATATTTTCCTATTCTCCTTTATGGTATCCTAGTTAGTATTTGTGTTGTGGAAGGTATAAATATTAATTTACTTATATTGGTTATATTGGTTTACTTACTATTCATATTCATGTGTACACATTTTACTGTGACATATTAGGACTGCTAAGAACAAGGTTGAACAAAATCAAAAACTAAACATATTTTCTAAAATTACCCCCCTCCGCCCGACCCCGGTGGGATAGCGTGTATGATTTTTGATGCTTAGGGGGAAATAATATGTTTAACATAGAAAAGCAAGGTTTTTTTTACGCTTTGATATTTTTTACCCAAAACTTCATTTATTTTGCCCTGAAATCATTTGTTTCCCCTTATATCTATCCTCTAGGGGGATTTAAATCTTAAATCATAAAATCTTAAGATTGGTAAATAGTATTAAAACTTTCAGTAAATTGGTTTTCGTAATTGATGGAGAATGGGAGCATTTGTCAGATAGATCACAGACTATGTCTGTGACACGGTAGGACTGAAAGATGGAGTCCTAAATGTATCCAGAAGAAATTCTGTGTCTATACATTTTTTGGAATATATAATCCAAGGATTGTAAGGCAAGGAAAGTTATTTCAGAAGTGTACACATCTTTTGTACTGCAGTGTACTGTCTCTGGGCGGTAATGTAAACACAAGACGGATGTCGAAACCTGACATGGGATCCATCTTTCACATAAAAGATTGATGAAATATTCTGGTCATAGGAAACTATTATGTGAATTATCAAAATTTTCAAAATTTAATGGTTTTAACCTGCTCGGATACTAAACAAACACTGATGCATCTATTCTTGTTTACAAATTCCGCCCAAAGAGAACTAGTTTCAATATGTACGCAGAGTATACGCGACCGCAATTAACTTTCCTTGCCTTACATTCTTGGTATAATCTATCCAAAGAAATAAAATATACAAATCAAATGTTCAGGTATAGTCGTGCTGCCCGTGTTGCAAGCTTTGTTCAATCCTGCCTGATGTCCTTCCCTCTTCTTATTCTAAGGTATAACAATATTCATGTATGTCTTGTATTGTGTATTATTAAGTGTCAATAAAAGTTCAAACAAAAGTAAAATGAATAAAAATCCTGCAAAAACTTGTTTGTTCCCATGATATCCAATACAATAGCATAGTTTTATCTAATTTTACTCATCTTATTTAATAGCCGGGTTATAAAGTTACTTATCACCCTGTTGTAGGGCTTAACGCCTAAAATGAGAAATATTCCCGCAAAATTTAATAAAAAGATTATCAAGCATCAACTTAATTTACGGATGTAAAACTGTTTCCGATTTTCCTTCCGTTAAGTATATCAATTTTGATGAACAATTTCTGAGTTTTGTTTTTGTTCAGTGTGACAACAGTTATCCATGCAGTTTTAGAGGAGGATTCTGTTAATACTGCACTTTTACATAGGTGAGGTATTATTATTGAAGTATTTTGCTGATAATAAGATAATTTCTGCTAGGTTTTCATTAAAATTTAATAAAGCTGAATTCATGCAAAGCATTTTAAATTATCAAACATTCATTTATTTGAGAATTTAAATTAAAAAAGAAATTGTACGTGTATTGCATTGTGCAATGAACACATACATATTGATGTAGAACTAGCTGGGGTTGTTGTTGTTGTTGTTGTTGTTGTTGTTGTTGTTTGTACTAAGGTACGAACTCGTGTATTATTATAATTATTACAAAGATTTATTCACACACAAAGATATAAATACATATATAAATGGTGTAGTTTAAATTTGTTTAAATAAATTTTTGAAAATACAGGTTTCAAAAAAGAAAGTCAATGCTTGATTTTGATCATCTACAGATTAAATTATTCTTTATTCGATATCCCTTGGTAATCGTAAAACTGTTATGAAGAGAATAAGCATTGATCCTTAAATCAAAACTGCCCGCAGTAGATAACGAGATCAAACGTTCGGTAGTAGGATATCCATTTTATTCCAGCGCTATAAACACATTTCATTTTGTTTTATTTATTTTGTATTTATTTTGACTACTATAAACTAGAATTAATTTTTATCAAAAGTAATAAAGCTTGTAAACAAAAGTCAAAGTTGACCTGGGTTGGATCTGGAAGGTCGGGCTCATGATAACCAGCTGTTGATTATTAAGTAGTAATCTTTATATGTCTGTTTGTCTGTCCCAACATAACTCACAAACCCTTAACCTATTTGCTTTACATTTTAAGTGGAAAACTCAGTGAAATACGGAAATGTTCTTAGCTTGGTTTAAAATGAATTTAATTGTTTGACTGTTATAAGGAAATATAAGATTTTCAGGGAAAGCTGGGTTCCCAAGCTAGTTCAAAATAAACCATCTGCACATGTGTTGTACATATTTAATTTCTCCTTGTTTAGATACATGTACGACAACAAGTTTATGTTTAGATACATATACAACAACAAGTTTGTGTTTAGATACATGTAAGACAACAAGTTTATGTTTAGATACATGTACGACAACAAGTTTATGTTTAGATACATGTAAGACAACAAGTTTATGTTTAGATACATGTACGACAACAAGTTTATGTTTTTTGCTGCGACTATCAGTTTCCTGAATCTGCTAATTTCTTCCTTCAGATTCAACGAAAGACTAACAGGTAATTATTTAAAGTCAAATGTATATAATTGAGTTTCTAGATTTTTTATACGTTCTTGAACCACTTAAGTAGTTGAACCACGCAGACGTAGTTGAACCAATTAGACTTAGTTGAACCACGTAGACATAGTTGAACCACGTAGACATAGTTGAACCACGTAGACATAGTTGAACCACATAGACGTAGTTGAACCAGGTAGATGTAGTTGAACCAAGTAGACATAGTTGAACAACGTAGACGTAGTTGAACAACATAAGACGTAGTTGTACCACATAAACTTAGTTATACCAAGAAGACGTAATTGATCCACGTAGACATAGTTGAACCACGTAGACAAAGTTAAATCGCGTAGACGTAGTTGAACCACCTAGATGTAGTTGAAACACGTGGAATTAGTTGAACCACGTAGATGTTAGTGAACCACATAGACGTAGTTGAACCACATAGACGTAGTTGAATCACATTGACGTATTTGAACCACGTAGACAAAGTTAAATCTATATTTTTGTCCTAGTGCGCAAATTAAAGTTGAACAGAATTAGTTCAACTTAGTCTACGTAGTTCAACTAACGTTCAATATTATACAAAATTGGTCCCTAAATATTTGCTGTTTCCGGATCAGTATTAAAATGGTTTAAACTGTTATAAATGAAGTCAACTTCCTGTTCACAAAATAAATTCACTCTCAATTAAAAATCACAAATTACAGTCGTAAAGAGTATATTACAGCAATTATTGTAAAATAGAAATGCTTAATGCATAGTTAGCGGCAGATATAATGTTGAAATCTTAGTTTTTGTGTTCCTCCGTCTGTCTAATAGTAGTTCCCTTAACATCTTTAGCTATGTAACGATGAAGAATATATCGTTGTTTTTATCTATAGTTCAGCCATCAAAGGCTACTGTTGCGTATCCGAAATGAACCCTTTAAACGAGTGTCATTTTAAATTATGGTTTTCAGCCCCGTTAATAGCTTAAAGGCCCACATTTGTCTTTATATGAATGATAATTATAATCATAATAAACTTTTAATTTTAAATTTTCAGGTCGCCCTGTTGCCATTCTGGTTGGTCTGCCATTTCTCTTCTCAACTATTCTCTTTAGGCATGCAAATTTGATATTAAATCTTATTATAATTTATTTATTTAAATCTAATTAACATTTTTCTGCCTGAACAAAATTTGGACTCTTAAACTTTTCTTTTTTGTTTCTTCATCTTATAAATCCGGCAGTTTCTTCAGAAGAGTTTCGTTTTTAGTTATCTTTTGGTTGAAATATTATGGCAAGTTTTATTCTACCCCCCCCCCCCCCCCCAAAAATAAGTTTTTTAAAATTTATTTCTTTTAATATCTAATTTGCCTAGATTGCTTGGATTCGGTATACTATTCAGGGACAATAATATTTATGATACATATATTAATATATTTAGATACCTCTTCTTCCTCCCTTTTCCCTTATTCACACCTAATTCAGTTAAGATCTCCAAGACCAAGTAATCTGATAAACTGTAACCAAACATTAAAAAGAATAACATTACTTGGCAAATTTTAATCTTTAATTTAATTAGTAGTGACCTTAATAAGTTTCTTTTTTTGTCAATTTCTTCTACCCAATTATTTCGCCCCTTCAGGACATAACAGGTACACAGCAGTACACTAACGGTATTAACACTGCAGTACGCTACTTGTATGTATCCTGTAGTACACTACCTGTATTTGCAATGCAGTACACATCTTTTTTTACACTGCTGTATACTACCTACATGTACACTGCAGTACACTACCAACATGTACACTGCAGTACACTACCTACATGAACACTGTAGTACACTACCTGTTTGTACACTGCAGTACACTACATGCATTTACACCGCAGTAAACTATATTCTCTACCTGCATGTACATTGTACACTACAGTACACTACCTGTGAATTTTTCGATATAAATATTAACTGTTTACAGTTTATTTGATAATGCCTGGATAATCTTGAGCCTAGGAATCATGTTCACAATGTCAGCCTTGTCTGTACAACTCTCTAGTAGTATGACAATTTGCAGCAAAATATTCAGGTGACAATTTTCAGCAGAATATTCAGGTGACAATATGCAGCAGAATATTCAGGTGACAATATACAGCAGAATATTTAGGTGACAATATACAGCAGAATATTCAGGTGACAATATGCAGCAGAATATTCAGGTGACAATATGCAGCAGAATATTCAGGTGACAATATACAGCTGAATATGCAGGTGACAATATGCAGCAGAATATTCAGGTGACAATATACAGCAGAATATTCAGGTGACAATATGCAGCAGAATATTCAGGTTCATCTTAAAGAGACCGTCTATGTAATTTCATGGGGACATCCATTATTAAAGGGGTACTCTATTAAAAATTAAACGTTATTGTTATTCCGTCTAAATATTGATTTTTTCAAGTACTGAGTTGAGGAAGTAAATTCATGGATTCAATAGGGAACTTGGTTAACAAGTCGCTATTGTGCCCCTTTGAACCCTACTGATGCCTCAGTTAACAGTGAACACCCAGGACAATCTTTATATCTAAACAGTACACAGTACACATTCAATGTTATGATATTATTTTACACCTGGAATTTTAAGTTCTATTTCAGGCGAATGTGTGGAGATGACACAGTGAGTATGGATGAGAAGAAATCTTCTATTGCTTCTTCTCTTCTCCTAAGTATTGGAGGGGTTCTTCTTCCTACAGGATATTCTAGGTAAACCACTGTAACCAGAGAAGAGTAGAAAAAAGTCGTCTTCTATTTCATTTCTGTAAAAATTGCAATTTTAGGATAAGTTAAAATACAAATATTTTTGTTTTCAACATTAAACTTCCATAATTTCCCGGGTAATAAGTTTATAAAAATACATATCTAGGGATATAAAGTTGGGTCATGTGTCTGGCAGAAGCTGGAGGCTGATTCTAATCAACGCAATTGGATCCCTGGCTATACTCAGTGTTGTTATCAGTACTGCAATATTACAGCATATTCCAAATACATTTTCAGGTAGGTGTACACACTAAACTTGTTTTCAGGTAGGTGTACACTTAACTTGTGTATGATCATAAACATCAATTTAAAAAATTAAAGCCTCCCCCCCTTCCAACCCCTCCCTTCGGCGAGAAGCTGTCTGGGTTGCCTTTAAGGGCATTTATTTTCTCAATAATATTTGAAAAGCGAAGAAAATGTATATTTAAAAAGAAAATAACGAATTGGTTTTGAAAATCGAACAAATTTAATGGAAAACATCTTTCTTGCAACCAACCTACTCAGCAATTAAAACAATATTTGGGAATTTATTTTTCAACCACTCAATTTTTTTTTATCTTAGGACAATCCCTGATCAGTATGATCATGAACATGGGGGAGATGGAGATCACGATCAAGACAGGGGGCAAGGAGTTCACTATGGACATGCCTAAGACTCAGATCAATGTCATCGGAGGTACGTTAATCATTTCTAACAACATTTTAGGAACCATTTTATGAAGCTGATATTTATTTTAAGGGATTAAAGTTAAAAATTAGAAAAAGGACACGAGTGTTAATACTGCATCCTTAGTACACGATAACAATTAAAGGTAGTGACTGGCTAAATATGGTAGTTAAACTCAGTCTGAATCATTCGTTTCTACAACAGATGATTTAGACTGAATGAACTTTGCTTTTTTTAATAATAAGATTTATTATTTATTTGCTCAACCTATTCCTAAACAACAAATTAGTTTACTGAAACATTTTTAATTCATTTTTTGTCAGAGTTATCAAAAAGTTTTTAAAAATTGATTCTTGTAAGCGAGTCTGCAGAATTGGCCAACCTCGTGATTCTTAGAAATTGTGCTCTTCGCTAGCAATTAAACAGCGTAAAATGTTTTATAGGTATTTAATAAATCCTAGATATTGCACTCGCAGTTTAACTACGATACAAAGCCAGCCACGCCCTTCAAGCTTAATCTCAAGATAACAAAGAGTATAACTGTTCTAAGATATTATTGTTTGGTGTAAACTTTATCAAATATTTAGAATATTCCAATTATGTTTTCTTTTTCAGAACGACATGCTAAGGCCACAATGACCTTGAACAGTCATGATGATATGTATATATCCTACATAGTTCCCAGCTTACTTTGTGCTTTAGTTCTACCGTTTACTGTACTCAGAATACTCTTACTAGGTAAACAAATAGGAATAATAGATTTTTTCAAGAAATAGCATTCTCTTCATTTTGATCCGGATCCAATTCATTTTGATTCGGATCTGGATCCAGGTCATGAACATTAAACATTTATAGAAGATTTACTGATTTTTTACAATGAAAAATTAATTTTAAATTATTTGTCATCTTTCTTTTGCTTATTTTTATGCTACGATATTTAGAAGTAAAGAAAAGTTGTATGATCTCTCTTTTTTTACGAAAGTTCAGAAATGTGATGTGAAAGCCGCATGAAATTTTTTTTTACAGTTTCTTATTTGATATTTTGCCTCTTGAACCCGGATCCGTGGATTCGCATATTTTTATCTATTAAAGGGTTAAAGGGGGACCCCACCCCACTCGGATAGGGTTAACTCTTCACGTATTTGAATAATTGTAGGATGGGACTGCACACTGGAGAGAAGGTCCGAAGAAGATGATCTATATAATGAAAGAAGGTCAGTAAAGTAAAAATTTTTGGTTAACAAACTCAAGTTTTTTTTACAGTAATCAGTTTCACACAAAGAGACTTTGAAGATTTTCCTATAGTTAAAAATGGGTACTTAATAAACAATTAATGTTATTAAGCAGGTTTCAGATCATTTTTTTTTTACATATTTTTATTCAGCTACAAAGCACGAGATAATTCAAATAAGAAATAACAATTTATTATGTATTTTGGACCCGCCTAACCAGAGTTGGTTGTTTTGATTGGTTGGCCCATAATGATCTGTAAGATTCGCAACATCAACATTTTCGGCGATCCGGATTTAAGATTTACTAATTTTGTGCAAGTGAGAAAAAACCTCGTTTATTTTTATGCTGGAACTTGATGGACATTATACAAAGTTTTTAAAGTTTTTGATAATATCTTCTTAGTTAATAGTTGAGATTTGTTGTGTTTTGTTAATATGATGCCCCTTTGTGTCCGGATCCAGGAATCCAATTCCGGATTCTAAGCACTGGCTTAAACGCCCCCTTGTTGTTCAGGAAAGTAAGTTCTGGTCGAAGCTGTTGTGCTGTGATGTGGAGTATAGCATCTCTGATGTCCTTCACCTCCCTGTTCTCCATGTGCCTGGGTACACTTGTACTCTGCCTTGTACTAATGCACGTACATCCTGGACACACAGGGGACCAGTAAACTAGGTTATATAACATTCCTTTAATACTTTTTAAATCAGAGTCTATTTTTTTGGAATAAAAACTTAAAAAATTTGCTGAGATTTTAAGGCACAAATGTTATCTAAAAAATTTAATTTTTGAAGAAAAAATATTTTAGATCAGATTCTACAAATTTTTGATCAAATTTCCATTTTTTGTTTTTGTTAAGTGTACACTTAGATCTAAAACATTTTTAAGATCAATTTCTACATTTTTTAGATCTAATTCTCTTTAGATCAGAATACTCTAAGATTAAATTCCCTTTATATCGAAAGGTCCATAGATCAGATTCCTAAACAGCCATCATACAGTTTAATCTAGAACTTTGGAGACATCGATATGATATGCTAAATAAATCAAATGTTATTTTTTTACCAGCTGATAATAGACTGCTGCATATATTCAGTTTTTTAATTAAATAATTATATGGCACTCGTAAAACTGTTCTAGCATATTTCATAGCTATTCATTTATTTATATAATTACCGAGATTTAGTTCTTATAGTATAAACACATTGAAAAATTGTCAAGACGACATTTTATAGATTCTTTCGATGTTTCCGAAGTTTTGGATGAAACTGTATTTATGTTCGGTCAATTTACAGGTTTATAAAGATTTCTTTTAATGATTTTAAGTCATAATAAAGACAATCTGAAAAACGGAGATTCCCATAAAAGAATAGACTAGCTATAATGGAAAATAAACAATCAAAACTACAGGGTTGATCACAAAGGATGAGACTTTAGAGATTTTATTTAAAGAGCTTAAGATCATCATTAAAGTATCATTCTATTTGGGTAACCCTGTATCTAATTCAAAACAAATCAAATAAGAGAAATAACAAAAATAGTTTCACTGTTTTACAATATTAATTTTCAGTTTGTCTCCGCAGTCCTCATCTCAATCAAAATAAGAAGAATAAGAATCTACAGAAACTCCTCTCTTTAGATAATAGACATAGAGCGATTCCATTTCATATTTGAAATATTCACGAGCCGTCCATATTTGAAATATTCATGAGCCGTCCATATTTGAAATATTCATGAGCCGTCCATATTTAATTTTTTGTTATTTCATATTTTACGTTAAGACGTTACCTACCTGTACTACCTACCTAGTTTCCAGTCGAGACTAGGACATAGTACAGTTTTAATACAGTAATGGCAGCTTTGAAAAATGTTGATTATAAGATCAAAATTAGTGGAATTATGAGCATTTCTTCCCTTATTACTGACGTATTATTTTAACAGCTCTTCAGTCAGAATTATGCTCAAAATTGACTAACCTAAATACATTATAATTATACTGTGTAAACTTTGCTCAATAGATCTTTGTTCTGATTAATTTATTTTTAATTGTTGCAGATTAAAAAAATGTGTAAATATGTTAATTATTTATAAAGCGCTCAGTTTATAAAATTTAATTTTAAAATTAGGCCTACGTAGCATAAGGATGTAATTTTTTAGAACTTATCGTTGGTTTCCTTGAAACTAATCGCTCAATCTCCCTTGCCAAGTATTACGCTGAAAGAAACTAAATGCTCAAATTACCTAAAAATTGCTTTTACAAGATTTTCTGCATTTTAAATTTTAATTCAAATGTTGATTTTATAGTTTTTTATTTGTTTTAATCGTATTTTTACTCTATTTAAAATGTGTTTTAAAATTCATGTAATAATAAAATACACTATTTTAATTTTAAAACATTTTTTTATATTATGTAATTAACATCATGATGACTAAACAAGAAAGTTTTTTCAATAATTGAAGTTTCATGGAAAAAAACAAAACATGGTCGGGTTTCCCGGAAAACTAGAGATTAAAAACGACAAGACTCGTTCTTTATTTGAAATTGCTGAAATACTTACAATAATGAAATACCTTAAAACACAGTTTTAAATACTTCTTTAATACTGTAATCTTTTGTGAATGTTCTGTAAATGATGCACCTGTGAAATTGTATAAAGGAAAATGAGTTTTTGCCACAATCTCTAATTTTGTAACCTCTTTATCTTTGCAACCCGATGTTGAAGATCTTGGATATTTCAAACCACGAAATCTGCTAGATCAAAAAGTCTTTGCTTGAAATTTCAAAGGTCTACTCTATCAGGTTGCAAAGATAAAGTGATCAGAAAATTTGTATTTGTGTCAAAAACTCAGTTCCTTTGTCTTGATGAAGCTGCAAGTTTAGGAATTGGTAAAATTTAGAACAAGAAAAATAGAAAAGTATTAATCTCAATAAAAAATAGACTTTTTAATAGAAATTGTTTGTGAACCATTATCATGTTGAGATTTTAAAAATGTTAACGCCAAATATTTGATATTGAATATCGGAGGTGAACACGGATTTAGTTAGCCTGGCAGACGAAGCATGAGGCAAGGAGACGATTTTAAGTACTGGGAGGCCATTCTGTGCTATTTTAATTATTTTAAAACGGCTTACATTAGAGAGCTAAAACTTCTTTATTTTTTCAACTTCATAGTTGTTAACAAATTTTGCTAAACATTATTTTGGAACAAAGGATAGGGTGGACGGTTAAACGGCGGGTCGGTGTTTCATAAATAATTAGAAATGGTTAATAACTTATGAAATTAATATATTTGAAAACCCTGGAAAAATGTGTCATATGTTAAAATTTGTCAAAAGTAAAAATATTTATTTTTGAACGCTATTGATGTAAAACTGAGAGATGATTTAACCCAACTTAAAAATGAGATAAATAAGTGGGGGGAATTGGCATGCTCTGTTTTACAGTTGATGAATGTTATTGAAGCAAATCATAAGGCATTTTTGGGGAATATTGAGCTGAAAATCTCTGAAGTTTTAGTAACCAAGGGGGATTTGGTATTAGTGGGAGAACTAGGGAATCTTGAGGATAAATTGAACGGGATCCGGAAGAGAGCCCGGCAGATATCCAGAGATTGTTCAGGAGTACCACCCCAGCAGGATGAACATGTACCAGTTCGAGAAGCTGGTGGTGAAAGAGATCAGGAGTTGATGATGAGAAGCTGTGATTTGGATTACGTGTTTCATGATGAAGAACCTATTTTTTTATAAATAAAAAAATAATTAACATTAAATTATAAAACAACGATGATAATAGAGGAACATACTAATTTTTTTAAAAATGATTATCTAATTAGGTTTCAATGTGTCTTCAGTGCTATCTATCGATCATCATTCTATCTATCTATCTTTAAAAAAATCCACCAATAGGAGAAAAATAAAGAAATTTAGCGGCGATATCAAATGGACAGTATTACTACTAATCATACTAGGGTGCACTGCATACTCAGTTCAATTCTAAACCTGACATAGCCGGTCACTCCCTTTAAATCGTCATATTTTTAGAATTTTACAGTCACATACATTGTAGGTAACCTTTTAAACTATAGTTTCAGCAGAAGTTAATATTTCCATTTACTGATAGCGCCGATTGAAGGATTCATATCTCTAATTGGATAATGAGAGAGATAGAATGTTAGATGTTACCGCCATACAAATCCTATTGGTTCAGAATAAACATCAAACACACGACTGAACCCTGATTGGATCAGGCGCCGCTATTGGAAATAGCAAACAAGTGTGTGTATGTCTCTTTACATGAAAATTGTTTGATAATGTCTTCAAAATTACCTGAAGGACTTCTGAAAACACTTATCATATCTGTGCCCCCAGAGAACCTCAGGGATAGTCCAGGATGCCTTAACAACATCTTAGTTAAGATTTGTAACCTGAAACTTTTCCCCTTATTTCAATAAAAATTACAATCTGGAGTCATGCGTTTTCTTTTCTTTTTGTCTTTAATGTCAAATTTATTAAAATAATAATGCAGATATTTTTTATCTGTAAAATATAAATGTTAGTTCGAGTGTACTTTATTTTTTTTATCTTGACCAAGATACAGAGTGTCCCACGAAACATGATAGCCATGGAAGACATTCCATTTTATGGCAATTCCTAAATTTGTCTGCCTTATCTGTGTTGAGTAAATTATTTTCGTTTTACTTATTTTATTAATGTTCAGATTTCAATCTATCATCTTGTCGAAACTATCAAAGTTAAAAAAGGTACAACACAGTTCGGACTAAGAGAAAACTTTGAGCACTGTCAAATCATGTTTTTTTGGTATACCCATATATCTAACCATGCCAAGGCTCGAACTCTAACAAATTGTGAATCAAGCTAATGAAATGAAATGGAAAAACAAATTAAATGCAATTTTTTTATCTCAGTCTAGATGAAGATTTTTTAATGCTGTCGATTGTGAAGATCCATAATGAGCTTATTTTTATATATTCCCTATTTGTCCACACACTGTTTCGTTTAGAGAAAACAACTCAGCGGTTGAGAGCTAGTCAAGACCGAATTTAGAATAAGAAATACAACTTTTTTCTTTCTCTCATTAAAACTTGATTCAAAATCTGAAATAATTATCTTTAGGTACATATTTTTGCCCTCAACTGCTGGGATTCACGTTTGCACATATATTTGTTTAGCTATGAAAATATTTCTAGCGGTTAAAGAGAAATAGATATAAAAAATGTTAAATTTTAACTGTTAAAGGTAAAATAAAAACTTACATTTGAAGCGGTTGAAGTTGAAAGTGTTTAAAGTGAAATTTCAGTGGTTAAACACAATTAGTAGGATAAAATATGTGAGTTTCCTTTGGTTGAAGATAAAAAATTGAATTTAATTCAATTTAGTGCATTTATTATTTATAACTGCTTTGTCACAACTGTGAACCCTCAAACTACACCTCTGGGTATTTTCCTCCGAAGATTATATCACTGCTTTCTTATAAATATATAAACAACTGACCTGGCCCATCGTGGAGTGCATAGTTTGGTTGATGTTAAGTTTGTTGGACCTTTTCCAAGATACCCATCTTCAATTTTCCTGTATTAGAATTAGTATTTAGAAGCATTGAAATTCTCGTAAAATTGAACCTGAGGTGTCGCTAATATTGAGTAGGTGAGCTTGAATATGTTATCTTTAATAGGTGATCTTGAATAGGTGTCAGTCAAG